GTACTTCCAGCATATAGGTCTGGTGCCAACTGGGATGGATAAAACCGATCGTGGCTTCCACACTACAATGGGGAGACGTTCTGCGGTCAAGAGTGGGACATGGTCCCTTTTAATCAAGCAGTCATTTCTCACTGCACAGGGATCCCCCCACCCCCGGTACAACTTTACCTATAAAATTAAACAAAGGAGGCTCTTTAGAATGAAGTGGAAAGTTGCAGAATGGGAGCAAAAAGTGCCTCACCAGAGGAGAGACTGAGTGAGGCAGGGTCCTGGCCGGCCCCTCCTCTCAAGGTGCGAACAAATGTACTCTCCTCTCGGCCCACCTCGGGAAAAAATGGGCTCCCTCAGCTAATGACGATGACCCTAAGGTGAGGGGAGCTGGTGCTAACAGCTGTCCCTGATAATGGGTGACAGAGAGAGATCCTGAGCCCCCTAGGAGAAAGCCCCACCCCATCCTGGGAGCCCCCGACTCCCCCTGCCCCAATCTTGACACACTCCAGCAGTCTCCAGACAGGCCAAGCTCACCCCACTCCCACTCGGGGTCCTGGGTCCCGCCCAGCTGCCCCAGGCCCCGCCCCCTGCTCCGGTCTCCGCGGACACCCCAGGTGCGCGCCCTCACCCCTCCCCGCCCAGCCAGGTGCTCGGGCGAGCCTGACCTGCTCCGGGCCTTGGAAGCAGATCCTGCACTGGGGGGTTCGGAGCCCACTGTCCAGGCTGCTGCTCAGCGACAGGGCGTCCAGCGCGCCTGGGGGCGGCGGCGGCGGCGCGGGCGGCGGCGGGGGTCCGGCCCGCGGTTCCTTGTCGCCGGCCAGGCCCCGGGCCCGCGGCTCCGACCCGTAGTACTCTTCCTCGTCGCCGTCGCCGTCCCGGGCGGAGCAGCCAGCGAAGGGCGCCCAGCCGCAGCCGCCTCCCCCGCCCCCCCGGGGCTGCGGCTCGGCCCGGGGCCGCCCCCCGCCCGTCAGCACCAGCAGCTTCAGCTCGTTCAGGAACATGCGGAGCCGAGACTTGAGCATCGTCCGGGCACCGGGGGGCGGGGGGCGGCGAGCGAGGGGGGCTCCTGGGCGGCGGGGGGAGGGGCGAGGACAAGGCCGGGAAGGGGACGCGCGCGGGAACGCCGGACCGGGCCGGGGTCTCCGCGGCCTGCAAGCGCCGCTCACAGCTGCCACCGCCGGGGCTCCAGGGCTCGCGGGGCCGAGAGGGCCATCAGCCCGGGGATAGCAGGGTGGACAGGCATGGCCGGGGCAGGGGGCGGGGAAGGGGCTCAGGGTGCCGCGCCCCGTGGGTCGGGGTCCGGAGCCGGCCGGGCGCCGGGGCTTACGCGCCCCGGTCTTCCTGCGGCGGGGCCGCCCCCCATCGCCGTCCTCCCAGCCCCAGTCCCGCTCCGACTCCCGGATCCGGCTCGGCTCGGCCCGTGCGCTCGGCGGTGGCAAATGGCGGCTCCTTCCGGCGGCGGCGGCGGCGGAGACCCCCCCGGAGCGGCGGGCGGGCGGGGCGGGAGCCGGGGAGCCGGTGAGGGATGGAGGGAGGGGTGGGGCGGGGAGGGGGAGCGGAGGAGAAGGGGCCGCGGCTGCGCATCCCCGCCCTGCCCAGCACGAGCAGGTGTCCCTAGGGGCGGGGCGAGTGTGCGAGACAAGGAAGGAGGGGAGTGGCTAAGGAAGGGGAGTGTGTACCCTGGTGGAAGAATAGGTGTGTGTGCGCGCGGGTGGGCGTGAGGATGGAAGGTGAGTCGTCAGAGGCTGCAGGTGTAACAGGCCCAGAGGTGTGTGCACAATGGGAGTGTGCAGAGAAAGCTCCGCAAGGGGTTAGAGGTGTGCGGGCGTTGAGTGGGCAGGAGATGGCCCCTAGTAGCACACAAAAGATTGTGGAGGGTGCGGGGTACGGGACCGTGAGATGGTGGTGTGCAAGAATGGAATCAGACACTAGCGATTGATTCTAATGTGTGAAGGTGGTGAGTGAGCAGAAAAGGGAATACCAAAGGATGGGCGTGTCTTGCTTGATGCCCCCCTGCCCTTAGCTCCACTACTCTGAAGTGAGTACCACACATACACGCGTAAATCTTTGTTTCAAGTTGACCCCTAGAGCTACTCCCAGCCTATCATTTTTTCCCCCGGCTTTATGTTTACACCTTCCCTCTCAGCCTCTTTGTGAAGCTGAAGGAAAAAGGATTCCCCGGGAACCCACTGGGTCAAAGACACAGAAAAAAATTAATTAGTAAAAGAGTAATTAACAGAGAAGGGAGGGAATGAGCAAGTCGAACCAGGGACAGATTGCCACATTAAGACTCCTCAATGGAAAGTGGTAGCGAAGACAGTCATGTTTGTGCAAAACATCCGAGTGCTTTGGGTGGACCAATGAATGAAGCAGAGGGAAAGTCTGTGAGTTAAAGACAAAGAAGAGAGTTTTTCCTGTAAGCACAGCGAGCTGCAGTGTGCTCGTATGAGCGGCAAGATGAAGCAGGTAATACCTGCACTGGGAAAACTGAACCAAACCAACCAACAAAAATAAATAAATAAAGCCGGTCAGTGATGGTCTTTAATTTTAGCATTCAGAAGCCAGAGACAGGCGCTCTCTGTCAGTTGGAGGCCAACCTGGTCTACCAATTTCCAGGACAACCGGGGCTACACAGTGAGACCCTGTCTCAGGAAAACCAAAACTGTGTTAGGAGTTTAATAAGCTCACAGACACATAGCCTTTCAGACAGCTAAAACCCTCAAACAGCCCTAGGAATGTAGCCAATGAAACACCCACCTCTCCAGCCCCTTAGCCCTGATCTTTTTCTTACAGTCTCCTTGGCACAAGCAAGAGAGGAAATCTGCCTAATGTGCCTTCCATTTTGTTCTAGATTATGAGTTACCTTAATATTGAGTTGCTGCTGTTACATTGACTGTGTGTGTTTCCACTCCCCACCCCCCTCTCAGACAAGGTTTGATTGTGTGGTCCTGGCTAGCCTGGAACTCACTAACTAGATCAGGCTGGCCATCCACCTGCCTCTGCCTCCGCCTCCCAGACCCCCCCTGGGATTAAAGATGTGTGCCACCATGCCCCACCATGCCCCACCACTGTTACATTCTCAACCAGGAAAGTAAGGATAAAAGTAAGAATGGAACACATGGCAAACCAGATGCTAAAATGGTTTCAGGCTAGTTGTGGCTCAAGCACTTGGACTTCAGAGAATCTGGAGCCAGCCTGGGCTACAAGGAAAAGACTCTGTCGAGAAGAAGAAGAAGGAAAGAAAGAAAGAAAGAAAGAAAGAAAGAAAGAAAGAAAGAAAGAAAGAAAGAAGAGAAAGAAACGAAATTGATCATAGTGCATGCCACTAACCTTCTTGGAGCAGTAGGACCAAGCAATCAAACATTTGAGGCTAGCCTAGCTTTGTGTCTGTTTCAAGGTCAACCTGGGTTGACCTTATCCCATTAAAACAAAATTCCACAAAAATAAATAAATAAAGCAGAGCCGTAGTTGCTGCTCAAGTCTGTAAAAACAGCATTTAGAAGGCTAAGGCACAACAACTGCTGTGAATTTAAGGCCAGCCTCGGCTATATACACGTCTCAAACATGATTTCAGTTTAGGGTTTCAGAGTATAGCACAGTGACTGAACACATGCTTACTACATTAAAAAATTAAAAACACTGACTCCAATTCCTAGCACTAAAAACCAATTTTATTTGTTTGTTTATTTTTTTATTATTTTGAGGCAGGGTTTCTCTGTGTAGCCCTGGGCTGTCCTGGAACTCTCTCTGTAGACCAGGCTGGCCTCAAACTCACAGAGATCCACCTCCCTCTGCGTTCGGAGTTCTGGGATTAAAGACGTGCACCACCATTGCCTGGTTAAAAGACAGTTTTAAATTATCTCGAGATTTTAGGTTGTTTCCCACAAATGAGTACATGGTTCTTTATTCCCATATACCTTAATGATGGGAAACAATAAAAGAGTTGGAGCCCATAAGACAATGTCAAATATACCTGTCTACCTAGATTTCTGTGGGCAGGCACACCACTTGAGAAATGCTGTTTAGGCAAGAGTAGCGCTGAAGGCTGCCCTGAAAACTAAAAGAATGTGACACCAATGAAGAGTCCAGGTTTGCAGAGACACGAGCTTCTCAGGCAACGTGGTGGTCTGCAGTGGAGCTGGTGACCACGCTTGTACATGCTGTTGTCTGTTCATATGTACAATCACACACATGTAACAGAATACAGAATCTGAGTGTTAAGAGCCTTTTACGATCAAGTGTCCTTATTGCCAATAACTCCTTGCTGTTTTGAATATTCCCAGGGAGGTTTACAAGTTGGAAGAGGGGAGGGCCACTCTTCCCCTACAGTGGCTAACTATATTAAGCTTTTCTTCAGTCCATCTTTTAATCCTAGTTTCCCCCTCAGATAGAAAGTGTCTCCTCCCCGTTTCAGAAGACCACACTCGCCTACATTAGCTATCCTTGGCGTTACTTTAAAGGGCGAATGACTGAAAACACCAAAACAAAAACATCGCATACCAAGTGAAAGGAAGAAGCACTTAGTAAAATTTTGTTGAATGAATGAGTAAAATAAAGACACAAATACGAATGTTTCCCCATGGCGGTGGAGTGGAAATACGACAGCACCATCTCTGTACCAGGATCTCCCACCAGCACCCCGACCTCCCGCCCACGTACAGACGTGTAGAGAGACTAAAGACGCGCTCAGGCTCGGCCTTGAGCCGAGTGTTGAGCGCTGGTTGGCCCGGTTGCCATGGCACCGCCTGGTGCTCCACCCTCTCTCGCCCCCACACCCCCCCCCTCGGCAGTCAGGGAACTGCAGCCAGTCACGTGCCACACAGCGTAACCACACCTCTGCTTCTCAGAGCAAAGTCAAGGGGTCACGTGGGATAGCAACAGGTCACGTGGTCACCCCGGTCCCCGCCCCCTTCCTCCACCTCATCCCTCCCATCAAGACCGCCCCGGTCACCCAGTGCGCAGGACGGATGGAGGTCACGTGCCCCGAACGTCCGGCGTTCGCCCCGCCCCCCCAGTTTCCGCGCGCCTCTCTGGCAGCTGGTCACATGGTGAGGGTGGGGGTGAGGGGGCCTCTCTAGCTCGCGGCCTGTGTCTATGGTCCGGCCCGTAGCGTCCAGCTGCCCGGGACCGATCCCCGGTGTATGGCGCCGCAGGAACCGGCTCCCGGGCCCAGATAAAGGGCCACCTCCCCAGCTCTCGGCCGGGCGTAAGGTGAGTGCAGCCCCTTCCAGGGATGGGGTGCCAGTCCCCGCCACCACCGCCGCCTCGCTCCCCTCGGGTGCGCGTCGCTGTCTGCTTATGGAAGGGTGGCCCAAGGGCGGGAAGTGGGGGCCTTTGTGGTCGCGGGCGAGGGTGTGATTTTAGAGAATAAGGTGTGGAATCTTCGATGCCCGCCCTATGCACCGTGTTGATCTTCTTTGTGCCCAGTACGGTGTTCTCCGAGAGAAAAGCATTCTTTTTTCTCCAGGACATCACGTGGCTGGAGGGCTTGGTGGTAGAGCCTTTTGTGCTACCTGAGGCGCGGGCTCTGGGAGTGTGAAGGGGACGGGCTGCTGAGTTGGTGCTGCCGCGGGCAGGAATTCCTTTGTTACTGCTGGGACATCCCCCTCCTAGCTCTGAAAGAGAGTTTGGTATTTGAAGCCTCTGTGATTGTGGGAGATCCCCTGCTCCGAGAATGGCAACCTCTCGGTATGAACCAGTGGCTGAAATCGGTGTCGGCGCCTATGGGACGGTGTACAAGGCCCGGGATCCCCACAGTGGCCACTTTGTGGCCCTCAAGAGTGTGAGAGTTCCTAACGGAGGAGGAGCTGGAGGGGGCCTTCCCATCAGCACAGTTCGTGAGGTGGCCTTACTGAGGAGGTTGGAGGCCTTTGAACATCCCAATGTTGTAAGGTGAGAAGGTTGGGTGGGGAGGAAAGAATAGGATCTGTAATTCGGGTGTGTGGTCAGGAGTGGGACCGTAAAAATCAGGGGGCCACGTTGGATCGAAGGAGATTGACCCGTTGGTGACCATTTATTTTTGTCAGGCTAATGGATGTCTGTGCTACTTCCCGAACTGATCGAGACATCAAAGTTACCCTAGTGTTTGAGCACATAGACCAGGACCTAAGGACATACCTGGACAAAGCCCCACCACCAGGCTTGCCAGTTGAGACCATCAAGGTGAGTGCGGTGGACACTGAGAAGTGGACTGGGATCTTTGCGCTAGAACTTGTTGGGATTTTTGGCCACGTTCCATAGTTTCCAGTGGTCTGTGATTTTTCCTTCAAAACCAGGATCTGATGCGGCAGTTTCTAAGCGGCCTAGATTTTCTGCATGCAAATTGCATTGTTCATCGAGACCTGAAACCGGAGAACATCCTGGTGACAAGCAATGGGACCGTCAAGCTGGCTGACTTTGGCTTAGCCCGCATCTACAGCTACCAGATGGCCCTCACCCCTGTGGTCAGTAGAAAGATGGCCGCCCAAATGGGCTAGGGTGGGTAGGATGTTATTCCCATAGGACTGAGGCCATCCTGGACTTGATGTTTCCCAAGCCAGGCAGCTAGGATTCACAAGAAGGACCCTCACTGGTGTTTCCTCTCCTGTTCAGGTTGTCACGCTCTGGTACCGCGCCCCTGAAGTCCTCCTGCAGTCCACCTACGCCACACCTGTGGACATGTGGAGTGTTGGCTGTATCTTCGCAGAGATGTTCCGTCGAAAGTATGGGACTTGAAACTCTTTTGTTTTTGAGACAGGGTTTCTCTCTGTAGCCTTAGCTGTCCTGCAGACTCCCTCTGTAGACCAGGCTAGCCTTGAACTCAGCTCTGCCTGGCTCAGGGCTTGGAACTCTTTAAGCCACCTTCAGTTCCACAAGCCCTGTCATTATTTATGGTGTTGGAGGCTGAAATCAGAACTGGATGTACACAGGCAAATGCTCTATCCCACCAAACTATAATCCCCACCCACGTCTTTTTATAAGATGTATCTGTTTTTGACCGTGTTGGACCCCGACCTAGGCGCTCGTATGTGTTAGGTGCATACCCTGCCACCCAGCTATAGTCCCAACCTCCCCTGTTGGTGTTGTGATGCTGGCGAATCTCCTGAAATGCCTCGGAGTTGGGAACGTCACCCCCCTTCATCCTCTGTCCTCTCTAATCTGAGCCTTCATGGCTGGCACGCTCCTGCTCTTGAAATAATATATACTTGGGATATTTTTCTGCCTTAGGCCTCTCTTCTGTGGAAACTCGGAAGCCGACCAGTTGGGCAAAATTTTTGAGTAAGTATCCAGTCAGGAGGAAGGAAACTCCCTTTCTGAGTTGCCCTTCTGCTCAGCTCCAGTGGGCAACTGAAAGGCCCCCTGAGCAGGGTTTCCTATCCCTACAGTCTCATTGGATTGCCTCCAGAAGACGACTGGCCTCGAGAGGTCTCTCTGCCCCGAGGAGCCTTTTCCCCGAGAGGGCCTCGGCCAGTGCAGTCTGTGGTGCCGGAGATGGAGGAATCCGGAGCACAGCTACTGCTGGTATACTGCACATGGGCTGGGGGGTGGCTCTGTGGGTGAAGCTTAGGGCAGAAGTGTGGACCTGAGTTCGAATCCCCAGAACCCATGTAGAAGCTGTGTGGCAGCCAGCTTCTGTAGTGTCACTACAGCAAGATGGGGGGGAGGGGCAGAATTCCCTGGAAGCTCACAGGCCAGATAGCCTGGTGAATACAGTATTGACAAGAAAGTCTGAAGCACCATGGAAGGGAAGGACTGACACCCCAGACTACCTTGACACGCCCACGCCCATATTCTTTCACACATGAACACGCACACACAAAGACCAGCGTGGAATCCAGGTCTGGTTAATGGACTGGCTGTAGTTTTCGTTGCTGTGAGTGGGTGGCAGAGTAGGGGTAAAGGGAACCCCTTGCAGCTTTGGTAGGGTGGGCACCCCCTCTTCCATTCTTTCTGACCTTTGCCTCTCCCCTTTAGGAGATGCTGACTTTTAACCCACATAAGCGGATCTCTGCCTTCCGCGCCCTGCAGCACTCTTACCTACACAAGGAAGAGAGTGACCCAGAGTGAGAAGAGCGGCTGGCTGCCTTTCGTCTCTGGACACCGAGCACAAGACTCTCAACCTCTCCTTCCTCTAGGGCTGTGGAGACTCCTCCAGTTTTTTACAGAGAATATTTTAAGCCTTAAATGACATTCCCTCCCCCACTTCTCCTTAGGAGGCTTACCCTCTTGCGCCCCCATTCTCTACACTAAGGGGTGGGTGTATCTGTCTTCTCCCCTCCCTGATTTATATTGGGATCTTTTTTATACAGCAAAACGAGACAAAGAAATATGGTCTTTTTTTTTCTTTAATGTTTTTCTGATTGGCTTTGCCTTTGGGAGATTTGAGGGCCCTGTGGGAAGGTTCCCTGTAACATCTGTAGACAGTTACACAGGACCCAGATGAGCAGCCCAGCTCTTTGGCTGACAAGGTTAGAAAGAATCTTTCAATTCCTTTCTCTGAATACTCAGTTAAAATGGCTTTAGTTTTGAGTTCACTGCTTCATTCTGGGTCCTGCCTTGGCAAGACTTGTGAGTGGGGCTGGGGCTGTAGTTCAGTGGTGGAAACACTTGCCTGGCATGTGTGAGGCCCTGGGCTAAAGCCCCAGCACTGCCTCCCCCACCCAAGAAAGTTGTTTCCCCCTGGTACTTTCTCATTTGTCCTTGGAGCCAACCTAAGGAGTCAAAAGGAGGGGAAATGGTTATGAAGGGCGTGTAGCCCCCACTCATGCTTCTAAGAGTATACTGTATTCTCTAGGGAAAGGTATAAAGTTTTCCTTTCCCTATATCTTATTCCCATCAAAATATGTAAGACAAAATTTGTCTATCACTTGATGGGTTTTAGGAAATGAGGCGAGGGGCCTTTTTTTCTTTAAAACAAAAACCAGATGGCAGTCCCCACCCTAGGTTTTCAAAACTCTAGGTGGGGGGTGGTATGAAAAGCTGGGAGAATGCAAAACCAAGTCAGGAGGATCCAGAGACTCGCTGAGTGTGGTAACACACACCTGTAATCCTACCACCTGGGGGCTGTGGCAGGGGGATCCAGAACCCAAGGTCATCCTTGGTTACATAGAAAGTTGGGAGCCAGCCTAGGCTATCTGGAAGACCGAGTCTATAGAAAGGCACTGGGGTTGGCTCGGGGGTCCTTTTGATTCCGGAATCGCATTGCTAGCCAAACACCAAGGATCTACAGGAAAGGGAGAGAGAAAGCAAGTTATTTTTGAGTCTTAGGTTTTAAGGCTTAGAAGTGTCTACATGAAGGAAATGGGAATCATTACCTCTGTGAAGCTAAAGAAGAGCCCAACACCACCTAGGATTTTCAGGGCTTTGTCTGAGTGTTTAAGGAACTTCTCCCCACACATCTGGCATGCAGAACTCCTGGTCTTGCACATCTGAGGACAAAAGTAGCTACAATGCACGTCATTCCCAGACTAGGGCCCCACTTGCCTAAACCCTTGCAGCCTCTATTTCTTTAGCATTGCTCAGTGAAGACTGACAGCTCACCCTGAGGCCACCTATGCCCCTTGCCCACTTCTTCCTAGCTGTGCTCCCCATCCTTGAACTTACCGCACCGCAGGAAGTATCGTCTTGTGGGTATGGAGCTGTAAGGTTGAACAAACCACAGCAATCAAAGCTTCTCTCCAATTCATGCCGGGTACTGTTGCTCATGACCCACCAAGATGCATTGATGACATCTGTCTACAACATATAGGCAGAGGAGCATCAACCTACCCCTGCACTCTAGCAAGGGCAATCAGCACAGAGAATCCCACAGAAACGGGACGCATGTCCTGGTCACAGACAATGTCAAGTGTCTTTCTCAGAGTCTACATCTTGGGGAAATAGCCATGCGTGTCAGAGGATGAAGGTATGAAACCGTCAGATTTAGCTTTAAAGGCAGGGAAACCATGCACTTGAGAGGGCATCACCTTACCTGTTTGCTCCGGCTAATGGCCAGACATGAGCAAGAGATTCCAAACTGGAAGATGAAGACCAAGCCAAGGATGATCATGTACTGAGAGGAAGTTATGGCAAAAAAAGATCTGGTTTCCGTTGAAAATATCTCAGTGTGAAGGCCAGCCTGGTGTAAGTTCCAGGCTAGCAGGACTATGTAGCACGATCTTATTTGTTTTTAAAAATCTCACTCAGTGTAATTTGTAACTGCAATGTGGCAGGCGAGGGAGTAGAGTTCAAGGCCCTTCTCTGTCCATAAAACCATAGTTTTATCGAGTTGAGAACAAAAACGTCAATTTTTGTGAGTTACAGAATAAGAACAAAGAGACACATCTGAGGTCCCCTGCCCTTCTAGGAAAAGCCTACCCAGGGACCCCAATTACTCCAGGTCAGGATACAAAGAAGAGCAGCACTTGGTGGTGGTTAACAGCCCCCACGAGCCCAGCCACTGCAATCAGGAGCAGGAAGACTCCCACAGCAATGACTCCTCCAATGATGTGGATGCTGGACACCAGGCCCAGGCCCTTGCCCCAGGCAGCCACGCCAATGAGCAATAAGCCCACGAGCTGCAAGAAACAGAAAGTAGAGTACACTTCAGCCTGAAGTGGTGGCTCACACCTGTGATCCACACAACCGCAGCACAACCAAGTTCCAGGTTAACCTGTACTAGCTACATAGTGAGACCCTGTCATCGCCAAAGAATTCTAGCATGCAGTACAGCTAAAGACTAGTCCACGTCCCCTTGTAATAAATGGGTAACCAACTGAGATTTGCTTTCTGGGCGCTCTTCGCAAGTAACTGGGAATAGCTGGGATCGTGGGGCAATGGCAGTAGCGTCTCGAGATACGAACCCCTTAGGGAGCATAAGACTGGGACTATAGGCCCGCAGTCTTCGACCCACCCCTCCCAACCACCGAACAAACCCCTCATCACCGGAAGTCTCTTCTCTTCCACGGAAGTCCCCAGGAATTCCCTCTTCGCCGGAAGTTTCTGGGAAGCTTCCCAGAACCCCCAGTAAACCCCTCTTCCCACCGGAAGTACCCTAGAAATTCTTCCCTTCTTTCCGTCCCGGAGCTTTCCCCACCTCCAAAACCTCACCATATAAACCACGTTGAGAGCACATAACGCATTCTTGGAACAGGCAAATCCGCCGCAAACCATCTCCCCAGTTCTGGGGACCCAAATGGTCCCAAGGACTTGAGGAGAGGGTATTGGGGACCGTCTTGTAGGACTCCAACAGCTTCTATCGCTTTAAATCCAAGCCAGCCAAATCAATTCTCTGCGCCTGCACCGTCCCACCCCTGCCTCTGGATTGGCGAAACTCGTAGCTAATCCAGGACATCCAGGATTTCAGTGCCAATCAATCTGCATTACGTCACCAGCCCGCCTCCTAGTCCTTCCCTCGGTTTCTTCATTGGACGAAACTTAAAAAAGCTGAAGACTGGGTTTCTAGACAGTTTCTTAGGGAACAGAGCCTAAACTTCAAAACCCTGGATTCCTGTGCTCCGAGGTGCGACATTAGGAATCCGAGGAGAGACTCAGGTGAACAGAAAAAAAAGGGGCTTGTAGAGGTGGGAGGAAGGGGCTCCGCTCCTCCAAGGATAACCCTTCCCCGCCGTTTACCCCATGTTTCACGGTAATCTCATGATGATGCCATCGTTTTGTTCGTGCGTCACACTCTGGAACAGCAAGAGGACACAAATATTGAGCTGTGCAGCCCAGCTAGAGAGGATCCAAGTCAGGCATAGCAACAGCCGGCAAATCCTCACGCATTTGTTAAATGTGTCTACTAGTACGCATGTCCTGTTCTGCATTCCTTCCTCTGCAGTGTGACCATGCCAGAAATTCAAGTGGAAACAGTGACTTGGAAGCCGGTGCGTTCCCATTCCTGACAAAATCACAGGCGCAGACCCTGGTGTCCTCTACATCTGGCACAAAATGACACAGGTGTGGGGGCGGGACCGGAATATGAATAAATAAAGAGCATCCATACTTTTTGTTTGTTTTGTTTTTTGAGACAGTGATTACCTGTATAATAGTACTAGCTGTCCTGGAACTAGCTCTTGTAGACCAGGCTGGCCTCGAACTCACAGGGATTCGCCTGCCCCTGCCTCCCGAGTGTTGGGATTAAGGCGTGCGCCACTACTGCCTGGACATTCTCTCTCTCTCTCTCTCTCTCTCTCTCTCTCTCTCTCTCTCTCTCTCTCTCTCTC